GTCGACTCTGAGGTAAAATTGGCTATAAAAATTTACGGATAACAATATCATTCATTTAAACATCACCTTAGGGTTTTATGTACCCCACTTTATTCAATTTTATGGGGCTTCTACCACTTTATTGGGGCTTCTCCCCTTCTGTTTGGGTATTCTCCAAAAAACGGGGGCTTCTGGAATTTCCAGTTACCGAGTTTCAACATTGGTCGTTTGGATGCGATTTATTTGATTAAAAATTTAGAGAAGTGGCACGTTTTACTACTTTTTGTGTCTGTGTGATACATTTTTCGCTAGTCATAGATACAAATAAGTGGTTTGTTTGCCACATCTTTTTAACGTCTGGTTTCTGATCACAGGAAATGCTCGGGCCTGTCTAAGTACATTTAAGGTGCAACGTTGTTTATCACGTTTTTATCCATATACAAATAGATAAAATCTATGTAAGCGGAGATGAATATGTTGAGTGTTTCCACTTTGTAATGTTTATTTGTTTAAAATACTGTGCTTATAGGCTATCGTGTTCTTGGAAGGCAGAGATCCCATTCTTAAGCTAGGGACACTGAATGATCGAGGTTTTCCGTACATAACTCAAATTCGTTTAATAAGTTCTTAACACCAAGCTCTATAGTTGATGACTAGAATGGCATTGAGAGCATCATTACTAGAACTATGTCATTTAACTGGTAAAATATGAACACGTTCAATGGTGACATGTTTTAGTAATTTATGTATCTTTAAAATGAATAAGGTTAGATAAATTAATATCTGAAAGAGTTCATCATTAAAAGGGTTAAGAAAGTCAAACAATAAAAAAAGATTTGTTTTATGTACTCTGACTGACCTGTCAAAATCACCCTTACACAATAATTTTTTTCAACACTTAATTTTTTTTCTCGTTTCCATAGCATAATTTCTATAGGATGCTTCTTGATTGAAATTCTCATGGCGGATCTAGTGGTGAGTGTGCGTGTTCCCATGGACATTACAGAGTTATTACATGTACATACTAAACCAAGCAGTACAATTCTCTGTCATCCTTGGACTTTTAGTAAAAAGTAGTATTCTTTCAAATGGCAAATAGATTTTCATTGGTTAAAAAATTAATAACATCAGGTACTTTTAATCGTTGTTGACAATCATTAGACAACTTAATCCCTTACTTCTTTCTTATATGTAATCCTGTTATTGGAAATTGGCTACACTCCTTGACATTTTCCCGAATTTCTATCCCGGCCACGTGTATTTCAACAATGAATGAAAGCTGTGTAAATTTTAGAGACTTATTATATACATGTAACATCGAGAATATCATGCCTTACTAAAAGTCCAAAGATAACAGTGAATCGTACTAAAAGTGACCTTGGACCCCTCCTTGGAAAAACTGAACTATGCAAAATTGGTATGAAAAGTCACTGGTTTGATGCTTTAAAAGTCAACGACTCCCTGAGTAAATAGAATTTTCTATGTGAAAGTGATATTTTGATATGGATCCAGTGAGCATTTGTTCCGTTAGTATTGACACAGATTTTGGAACCTGTAATTGTCTGAGCTAATGAAAATCATTACAGGCGAAAAGTCACAACCGGAAATTTTAAGTTTGAAGGTAATAGCACAAATACCGACGTTAATGGACTTCAAAGTTCCGGACTAATCACATGGATGGATTTAAAATTCCGGGTTGTCTATATAACACTACACTATTTAGTTTTTACGTCAAGATTGTCCAACAAGTCAAACTTCCTTCGTTTCCCATTGACCATTCCATAAACACTACCATTAAAGTACCACGCATTGTCTATCTTTGGGTGGTCTTTTAATCGGTTTATGAGAATCCCAATGAGTCTTGTCACATCATCTGTCAGCCAGGTCTTCCCATTTGTTTTTTCTTTAATATTTGAATGCTTACGCATTACATTCGATTTTGCTACACTGTTCTTTAGTTTTACGAGGGGAGTTTAAAAATGGCGCCGGTAGTGAAAGAGGCATAGAGCTCGGCTCCGTTGTCGTGGGTCGAAAAGGTGCAGAAATTCATATTTATTCAACGTACAAAGACAAAATATAAGTTGTCCATCAACATCTGATTCAGGAGAACTAAAAAAGGTTTTGGAAAAAAGTGTAAAGAACGGAATAGTCTGGTCTTTGTCTTCAGCCCGAGTTCTCGTGAGTAGCGCTTACGTGTCTGTGTTACTATCAATAAACTTTTCTGTATCTGTATTGATACGTCACAATAACCCATTGGGCTTTGACGTGACGGAGAGAGGGCGCGTTTAGTCGCGCTGATGTTCCAATGCTGACTTTCTAGCTTTCTAGCTTGGGAGCGCGGACAACTTCTTCTTCCAGATGGTTCCAATCTATTGCAGTGCGTACAAAGAACGAGTTCTTGAGTTGTTCTGTCTTTGTATCTGGTATTTCTACTGCTTTGCTGTTATTTCTTATCCTATTATATATAATATTTGTTGTTTGGTAGTCTTCGTACACTTTGGATCTGATGTTCCTTTTCTGTTTTTGAAATTTGATATATTGATCGGATTTAATTGCTGGTATCTGCCCCACAACCACTTTGTAGAAAAATATCAGCCGTTGTTGGCGTCTGGTTTCTAATAAGGGAAGGTCAAGTTCTTTGAGCATCTTTGTCATTGTGCCCTCTTCCCTTGATTAATAATCTTTTGTTACATGTATGAATCTAGCACCTCTTCTTTGGATGGATTCTAGTTTTGTTGTTTCTTGTTTGGTGTATGGATCCCAGATGACAGCTCCATACTCCATTATGGATCTTACTAGTGCTATATATGCAATTTTTCTACAGTTTTTTTGGACAATGTTGTAAGTTCCTTCTTAGGAAGCCTAAGGTGGAGTTGGCTTTGTTCGAGATGTTGTTTACATGTTCCTTCCATTTCAGGTCTTCTTGTATTTGGAGTCCTAAGTAAGGATTTGATGCCACTTGTTTTAGGGTAGTAGTATAAGGGGCCCCGATGGCCGGGTCAACTGAGTGCACTTTTTATGCAAATGAGGTCAAAAATACTGGATTCTGATTGGTGAAGGGGATAAGTGGGTCAACTGAGTGCAGTTCTAACCCTAACCTCCTAGCCCCCTAACCCTAGCCCTAACCCTAGCCCTAACCCTAACTAACCCTAACCCCCCCAGCCCTAACTAACCCTAACCCTAACCCTAACCCTACCCCCTAACCCTAACTAACCCTAACCCCCTAACCCTAACTAACCCTAACCCCAACTAACCCTAACTCCTTTGAACCCTAACTATCCTATCCCCTAAATACGGGGTTTACATTGTGTTTACATTGGTACGTTGGTACTACGTTTTTTTTTTTTGGACACAGGTAAAAAATGCGCCGTGTGCAAAAAACATTTCAAGAATGTGATTATGACGTCACGCTTCACAGTCTAGACAGCCTAACCAGTTCAAACTGGATTTTTACTGAAAACAATAACAAAATGGATTTTTTACTGAAAACAAGAACAACCTGGATTTTGATTTTTATTCAATTTTTATTCAGAATGAAAATACATACAATTACATTTTCTGTTTCTTCTTCTTCTGTCCCTTATCAGTGGTCAGGGATAGTTTCCTCTTGTGAGTAGTGCTGGGGCCTGGAATCTCTCTGTTTTCTTCCTTTTTCTCTTTTTTGTCTCCTTTTTTCACTAAAGGTTTGGTCTGGTGGGTCCCTGAAATCTTGGGTTCTTGATGCTTTTTCTCCAGTTTTTGTATTTCTTTCACTAACTGGTGTGTCTTCCTTCCTTGTTGGCGAATTTTTTCCATCACTTCTTTTCTAAAATCACCTATATCATTATGAATTATCTGCATGATAAAGGCCATTTGATTTAAGATACCGCATATCATTCTCCTGTCATCTACATCTAAAAGATCCTGTGTTTCTGGTACAGTCTCCTTTGTATTTTCCTCTGCCATATTTTACCTGTGTTGAATTCAGAATGCTAACGAAAAATGATCGTCGATGTCCAGCTCTGGTTTATATACCTTTACTTAACCCTAACCCTAACCCTAACCCTAACCCTAACCCTAACCCTAACCCTAACCCTAACCCTAACCCTAACCCTAACCCTAACCCTAACCCTAACCCGAACCCTAACCCTAACCCTAGCCCTAACCCTAACCCTTAACCCTAACCCTAACCCCTAACCCTAACCCTAACCCTAACCCCTAACCCTAACTAACCCTACCCCCCTAACCCTAACTAACCCTAACCCCCCAACTAACCCTAACTCCTTTGCCTGGAATCTCTCTGTTTTCTTCCTTTTTCTCTTTTTTTCAAACTGTCAATCCTTCTTTCACTAAAGGTTTGGTCTGGTGGGTCCCTGAAGTGCCGTGTGCAAAAAAAAGGCCACGTTTTACCTACGTTTTCTTATATATATACCTGTTTGCATCCTCTATAAAGTGCCGTGTGCAAAAAACTGAGGGTCGTGTGCAAAAGAAATATACCTTTTACCTGTGTTTTCTTATATATACCTGTTTGCATCCTCTGTAAAGTGCCGTGTGCAAAAACTTACCTATGCATTGTGACGTCATCCACTGTATAAATACAATGTGATTATGACGTCACACTTTTTCATTTACAGTCTAGACAGCCTAGTCTAGCCAGCCTAACCAGTTTGAACTGAATTTTTTACTGAAAGACAATAACAAATAACACACAATACAAAAAAAACATGTGTGTGTTATGTCTGTCAAGTTATAACACCAGGTCACTTTTTTAAAAAACTTAGAATTTCTTTTTAAATTTTTTAAACTTTTTTTAAAATTAACTTATAAATTTTTTAACTTTTAACTTTTTTAAAATAACTTTAAATTTTTTTTTCTTATTAATTTTTTTTTTTGGTAAACTCCCCTTATAGTTTTTAAGAAATAAAATAAAAAAATCATGTAATACTACATCAGTGTTATGTTATTGTATGACTTCATCTTTTATACAGTCGGGTTCGGGGTTTCGGGCAGCCATGGCGAATTTTCTACAGGCTTTTACCCCAGTGAAAAAGGCTTGTAATCCACAGTGTAGGTCTTTTAAAGTTGTTTCACATTGTTTATGATTGTGATTATGTTATCGCTCACCTATATGTTTAATGTCAGCTATGCTAAATAACCCATTTCTGTGTAATTTGAGAGAATGTTTTGACATGTGGTTAAAGTATGGCGTGCTATTCATGTTATCATTTAAAAAGTCGATCCTAAATAAATCTGTCTTAAAAAATACATTTTACGAATGACATTTAATATGATTGATTAGAGTATAGGTATCCATATATAAGAGATATTATTTTGCATTACATTTAAACATGTTTTTCTGTCCTGTTTGTCTGTCAATTGTTGCTTTACTTCCTTTGTAAAATGAGGTTAAATTGAGTATCACTGAATATTGTATGCTTTTTTTTCAGGATCAGCTAAGATGTTGTTTCACTGGATTATTTAATTGGGCATATAATTGGATAATTCTGGTAAGTTTGTCTTTGTTTTGTTTACATTTCCTATGAAGGTCATCTTTGCATTTAATCATAATTATGTAAAGTTCTGTTTTGAATGTAAATGTACTGTATTTATCCTCATTTCATGTGATTTACACTTGTACATGTATAACCTGCATGTAACTCAGAGTGCATTTAATATTTCTATGATGGGTCATTCTATGATTGAATTTAAATCAGAAAAATATTCACTAAATTTTGGTAAAATACATGGTATCTTTTACATTTCTGTCCCTTTTGTCTGTAAATTATTGCTTTACTTACATTGTAAAATGAGGTTAATTGTGTATCACTGAATTGTATGATTTTTTTCAGGATCAGCTGAGATGTTATTTCACTGGATTATTTAATGGATAGACTTATTGGGCATATATTTGGATATCTCTGGTAAGTTTGTCTTGTTTTTTAATTGTTTACATTTCCTATGAAGGTCATCTTTGCATTTAAGCATGATTATATGGTTAATTTAATTACTGTGTAATACTTATGTGATCTGTTGTCTCTAACTTACATTCATATAAGCACACCCTTATTTAACCTAAAATATATTAACACATGATTAAGGGATCTTCAGAATATTAATAAGTCCTTTTGTATAAATTATATGATTTAATTTCATAATTCATTATGTATGTTACCCATGGCCATGGAATTCAGACTTACTAAATGGTGATCAAAGAGATATTAATTAGGAATCTAATAAGAGAAAAGGAGGAATTTACAAAAGATTAATCCTAAGTTATTTACTTTTTGTTTTGATTCTAAATATGTGTGATATATGGCATACATATATTTTCATTTTCACTTTTGTTTCTTAGTAATGAGCTTTTCAAAAAATTAAGGACTACATGTTGTACTGTGATGATGCTAAAAAAGATGTATTTTTCTGTATGCAGTACTGACAGATATTAAACAAAATTGAATCTGCTGTTAATAAAAAATCTTTTAGTGTCTAAATAATTAATTTGATAATCATTTTATTTGTGATATCAATACAGTAATTGTGCTTTTTTTATTATCTAAAGATAACATGATGAACTTTTCTCATCTGGAGTTAATGTTAAAAACAATTTGTTTTGAGATTAAAAACAAACATTTTCATGAACTTTTTTGGCATTGTACATGTTTGTTCAATTTTTAAACATGCATTGTTTCACACAGTACTCTGTCATATTAACAAAATGGTTTTATTTTCTATACAGTCCTCAACCTGGAAGATATGTTTTGTTCCTAACCATCTATAATCCATTCTCTATGAAGTTCAGACTGTCTGCTCTTCCTTTGGAAATACACAGTTAGTCAACCAACATAGAAACACACAAACTTGAAGGTAAAGTTTCAATGAGATACAATTGTAATATATATTTATTTATTATTTTTTTTTTTTTTTACATATGCATGTTTATAATTTTGAATTGATATGTAAATGATATATTTAAATAAAAAGGGCTTGGTGGTCATGGTCATGTTTAAACTATATTGATCTCCTTTAGAAGAAGAAGAAGAGCTCCATTTCAATATATATACAAAAATGCATGATCAAATTTTGAAACTAAAATGTATGAAAGTTTTCTTTGCCAAATGATAGTTAACAGCTGAAGATAGCATATCTATAGAATAAGTTAAATATGGCTAATTTGTAACCCCCCCCCCCCCCCCCCAGCTTCCTTAATATCATAGTTGGTAAAGATAGCAAGTTTTGACTCCAATTGCTGATGAATTCTGAATTTCCCATTTAATATTAACATTATATCACAGGGAAAGAATACTATAATGTAGCACATCAGGATGACCAGAAAAGAAATCTTAATGACCCTCTTAACTATTTATAAAGACTGTAACCTTATAACTGATGTAAGATAATCTGATTGTGTGGAATTAAAATTCCCTGGTGTTTCTACTACCCAAGATCTTCTTATGAGTGCATGGGACTGTTGTAAACCTTCTCCTGTTTATAAAAAATATACCTTGGAGCATGACACTTTATTCATAAAAGGTACTTTCAATATCATTTCTATGAGTTTTTGTTCTTTCTTTTTAATAATCTAGTGTTATATCTCATTTAAACCCATTAATATGTATGCTTCCAAAATCTTAGATCTGTCTGTATAGTTTTTTCAGCTCTTTGAACACAAATACCCTGATTCAATCTTTTGAGGTAAACATGATAGAGACATCATAGATGATTATCAGAGTGTGTATCACAATCTTAACCATAAGGTCAATTTAAATGGTCTAAGGCACAACAAATGAAAGTGAAAACTTTTTTTTTTTTTTATTAGAATACATAATTTTGTAATAAACAAATACTGGAAAAGTTACTCTCATAATAAGCCTTAATGTCCTCCAAGAATTCAGTTTGGACTTCCTCCATTAATCCTTGTATCTTCTCCAATGGTTTTGTGGGCTAAAATTCATGTGTCTTTAACAACATTTTTTTTCTGACAACTGTTTTCTCTTATTATCTATAAACTTGACTTCTTCTCTAGTCAAAGGTCTTTCAGGGTAATCCAAGTAATTCTTACCCTCTTTTGGTAATAAATGGTTATATTCCTCATTGGCTTCTTCTGCAATCAAGGGTCTTTCTATGTAATCTCTGACAACATTAGGATCACCCTTCTCTGGACTTAATTGATTATATTCTTGTTGAGAAATGATCTCAATAGTGCCATCTTTTTTTTTTATTTTAACTGGTATACCTCTGTCTATATCTTTCTCTGAAAGAACTCTCTTTCCAAACTGAATTTTACTCATTCCTTTACTCTTTTCTTTACTGGAGGTGTTACCCATGGTTAATATGAAAAAGTCAAAATCTTATGTTACAACTTGTATTTATACCCTTTTTGTCTATATTTAGAATTCCATCAAGCTTATATTATATAACAATTTTTTTTTTCAACTAAGACTTTTTTTTTTATATTTTTCAGGATTCTCTAGTGAGGGCTTATGGAAATGATCTATGTCTACTCTCAGAATGGTGAAAGACTATCAGATTATGCAAAGACTAACAGAATATCCTCTCTTGGAACACTGAAACAAGAAAATCAAACAGGAGATGGATGGAGGATTTAAGAAGCACATAGATAAATATGATTTCCAACGAATTTAACCAGTATTATCATAGACTGTGGTTTACAGGATGACAAAGTAACAGGATTGTATCTTTTTACTGTCAGACACTGACTATGGATAAGATGTACCCATTTATTAAACTGAGATCTAGTCAAATCAAGTACAATTGTATTGAAAAAATGATTTTCTGATAGCATGAACTCTTTAAAAATTAATTCTCACAGACCTCAAAGTATCTGAATGTGACTTTTATTTTTACCAATTTCTATTGAAGACTGTTGTTATGTATGAGAAGTATACATTTAAACCTTTTATTTTTCATCTTATTTCTATAACCCCCTAGAAATTACACAGATATTCAGATGCTGGATTTAATATTATTATTTAACTTTCCTGGAATGGTAAATATATTTTGTTTGTGTATGTATCATGTTTAATTTTGAATTTAAAATTGGTCTCAATAAGACCCCCAATAAAGATGCAAGTGTCCCATAATCTGTGGTTTAATAATATCTTGAATATCTTTATCATATCATATTCATCATACTAATTACATATAGAATGTTTGTAGGAATACACTTTGTTGTTTAGGACACTTTGTCAAGGTCAAAGCATAAGATTATTGAGATGACTTCTTTGACAATAATTTGTAACTTACAAACTTCACATCATAAGTACACAGATGAAGAATCAATAAGATATTTCTATAGATTTTTTGGATCATTTACTCCTGGGTAAAAGTTAGTTACTAACTGAGATTACTGATTTGAATCCTGTAATGCAATAACTTAGACATTGTGTGATAACTTATAGACTTTATAAAAATTAGGTGCAAATTCTTAGGAAAGGATTGAAATGTTAATCAAATGTACAATGTTCAAGGGTGTTTATATGACTATTACTATGTAATACCTTAGAATTCTGTAAAAAATTTATTATCACTGCGTAGATAAAAATGGTGCATTACAGCAACTCTGGTGATTTACATACCTTCAGTCATAAATACATGTAGATAGGTATTTGGAAGACTCCTTTAGATTTTGAAATTTTTTAATTCAAAAGTATAGAATTTAAGTTTGAAAGATTTAAAATGGCAGCATATCATTTGCTTGTGAATTTAAAAAATAAATCCAAACATATACATCTTTGGATGATAATTGTAGCATTTTATCAATTCCTGGACTTCGGTCTTGATATCATCCTTTAATGTTCTTTTTAATGACTGTCTTTTAGTTTTAGTTGAATTAGTTTCTTTTCTACATGTGAAAATTACATCATCCAAAGAAATTCTTCATCTGCATGTTATATGAAGAAGACAATTTTCATCACAGTGAAAGAGATTGTTTTGTTAAACATATTGCATTGATGCACAAATATACTTTTAGATTTTTAATAGCTAGGGTTCATATTTCTTAATATGGAATGCTAAGTACTGTTGATTTCAATTTTTTGTGAACAAAGACATACTAGTAGAAAAAAATGTACATGATGTGTAAGAAAAGCATGTGTAAACCTTATGACTTTATATTTGCTGATTAATTCATTTATGAGTTTCATCTTTGTTTCAATGTAAACATTTCTAAGTAGGGCACACATCAGAAACTCTTTAAATTCTGACTATCAGGGTTTAACACAACTCTGCTATTCAGGCACCGGGGGGGGGGTTTACAAATTAGCCATATTTAACTTATTCTTTAGATATGCTATCTTCAGCTGTTAACTATCATTTGGCAAAGAAAACTTTCATACATTTTAGTTTCAAAATTTGATCATGCATTTTTGTATATATATTGAAATGGAGCTCTTCTTCTTCTTCTAAAGGAGATCAATATAGTTTAAACATGACCATGACCACCAAGCCCTTTTTATTTAAATATATCATTTACATATCAATTCAATATTATAAACATGCATATGTAAAAAAAAAATAATAATAAAATAATAAATAAATATATATTACAATTGTATCTCATTGAAACTTTACCTTCAAGTTTTGTGTGTTTCTTTGTTGGTTGACTAACTGTGTATTTCCAAAGGAAGAGCAGACAGTCTGAACTTCATAGAGAATTGATTATAGATGGTTAGGAACAATACATATCTTCTATGTTGATGACTGTATAGAAAATAAAACCATTTTGTTAATATGATGGAGTACTGTGTGAAACAATGCATGTTTAAAAATTGAACAAACATGTACAATGCCAAAAAATGTTCATGAAAATGTTTGTTTTTAATCTCAAAACAAATTGTTTTTAACATTAACTCCAGATGAGAAAGTTCATCATGTTATCTTTAGATAATAAAAAAAGCATAATTACTGTATTGATATCACAAATAAAATGATTATCAAATTAATTATTTAGACACTAAAAGATTTTTTATTAACAGCAGATTCAATTTTGGTTTAATACCTGTCAGTACTGCATACAGAAAAATACATTTTTTTAGCATCATCACAGTACAACATGTAGTCCTTAATTTTTTGAAAAGCTCATTACCAAGAAACAAAAGTGAAAATGAAAATATATGTATACCATATATCACACATATTTAGAATCAAAACAAAAAGTAAATAACTTAGAATTAAATCTTTTGTAAATTCCTCCTTTTCTCTTATTAGATTCCTAATTAATATCTCTTTGATCACCATTTAGTAAGTCTGAATTCCATGGCCATCGGTAACATACATGATGAATTATGAAATTAAATCATATAATTTATACAAAAGGACTTATTAATATTCTGAAGATCCCTTAATCATGTGTTAATATATTTTAGACAAAATAAGACTGTGCTTATATGAATGTAAGTTAGAGACAACAGATCACATAAGTATTACACAGTAATTAAATTAACCATATAATCATGCTTAAATGCAAAGATGACCTTCATAGGAAAATGTAAACAAAACAAAGACAAACTTACCAGAGATATCCAAATATATGCCCAATAAGTCTATCCATTAAATAATCCAGTGAAATAACATCTCAGCTGATCCTAAAAAATCATACAATTCAGTGATACACAATTAACCTCATTTTACAATGTAAGTAAAGCAATAATTTACAGACAAAAGGGACAGAAATGTAAAAGATACCATGTATTTTATCAAAATTTAGTGAATATTTTTCTGATTGAAATTCAATCATAGAATGATCCATCATAGAAATATTAAATGCACTCTGAGTTACATGCAGGTTATACATGTACAAGTGTAAATCACATGAAATGAGGATAAATACAGCATTTACATTCAAAACAGAACTTTACATAATTATGATTAAATGCAAAGATGACCTTCATATAGGAAATGTAAACAAAAATAAGACAAACTTACCAGAATTATCCAATTATATGCCCAATTAAATAATCCAGTGAAACAACATCTTAGCTGATCCTGAAAAAAAAAGCATACAATATTCAGTGATACTCAATTTAACCTCATTTTACAAAGGAAGTAAAGCAACAATTGACAGACAAACAGGACAGAAAAACATGTTTAAATGTAATGCAAAATAATATCTCTTATATATGGATACCTATACTCTAATCAATCATATTAAATGTCATTCGTAAAATGTATTTTTTAAGACAGATTTATTTAGGATCGACTTTTTAAATGATAACATGAATAGCACGCCATACTTTAACCACATGTCAAAACATTCTCTCAAATTACACAGAAATGGGTTATTTAGCATAGCTGACATTAAACATATAGGTGAGCGATAACATAATCACAATCATAAACAATGTGAAACAACTTTAAAAGACCTACACTGTGGATTACAAGCCTTTTTCACTGGGGTAAAATCTTGCGGAGATTCATCCCGAACCCGACTGTATAAAAGATGAAGTCATAGACTGTAAATGAAAAAAGTGTGACGTCATAATCACATTGTATTTATACAGTGGATGACGTCACAATGCATAGGTAAGTTTTTGCACACGCCATTTTACAGAGGATGCAAACAGGTATATATAAGAAAACACAGGTAAAAGGTATATTTCTTTTGCACACGACCCTCAGTTTTTTGCACACGGCACTTTATAGAGGATGCAAACAGGTAAATATAAGAAAACGTAGGTAAAACGTATTTTTTGCACACGGCACTTACAGTAAAGGTATATAAACCAGAGCTGGACATCGACGATCATTCTTCGTTAGCATTCTGAATTCAACACAGGTAAAATATGGCAGAGGAAAATACAAAGGAGACCGTACCAGAAACACAGGATCTTTTAGATGTAGATGACAGGAGAATGATATGCGGTATCTTAAATCAAATGGCCTTTATCATGCAGATAATTCATAATGATATAGGTGATTTTAGAAAAGAAGTGATGGAAAAAATTCGCCAACAAGGAAGGAAGACACACCAGTTAGTGAAAGAAATACAAAAACTGGAGAAAAAGCATCAAGAACCCAAGATTTCAGGGACCCACCAGACCAAACCTTTAGTGAAAGAAGGAGACAAAAAAGAGAAAAAGGAAGAAAACAGAGAGATTCCAGGCCCCAGCACTACTCACAAGAGGAAACTATCCCTGACCACTGATAAGGGACAGAAGAAGAAGAAGAAACAGAAAATGTAATTGTATGTATTTTCATTCTGAATAAAATTCCCTTGTTACTGTATTGTGTGCTATTTGTTATTGTTTTCAGTAAAAAATCCAGGTTGTTATTGTTTTCAGTAAAAATCCAGTTTGAACTGGTTAGGCTGTCTAGCCTGTGAAGCGTGACGTCATAATCACATTCTTGAAATGTTTTTTGCACACGGCGCATTTACCTGTGTTCATAAACAAAAAAACGTAGTACCAACGTACCAATGTAAACACAATGTAAGTGCCCCGTATTTAGGGGATAGGATAGTTAGGGTTCAAAGGGGTTAGGGTTAGTTGGGGTTAGGGTTAGTTAGGGTTAGGGGGTTAGGGTTAGTTAGGGTTAGGGGGTAGGGTTAGGGTTAGTTAGGGCTAGGGGGTTAGGGTTAGTTAGGGTTAGGGCTAGGGTTAGGGCTAGGGTTAGGGGGCTAGGAGGTTAGGGTTAGAACTGCACTCAGTTGACCCACTTATCCCCTTCACCAATCAGAATCCAGTATTTTTGACCTCATTTGCATAAAAAGTGCACTCAGTTGACCCGGCCATCGGGGCCCCTTATACTACTTAGGGTGTGGTTCTCAAGGGTGTATTGGCTGTTTATTTTTTTTACGTATGCTTAATATATACCATTTTTTGGCATTAAATCTCATACCCCAGTTTGATGCCCACTGTTCCAATTTTTCGAGATCCTTTTGTAGTAGGTTTTGATCTTTAGGCGATTTAATTTCCCTGAACAAAAGGCAGTCGTCGGCAAAGATCCTAACTGAAGATTTTACTGCGTCAGGGAGATCATTTATGTGGCAAAGAAAAAGTATAGGTCCAAGTACTGTTCCCTGCGGTACCCCGGATTCCACACTGGTGTCTTCTGGGTATTCCCCTTCTAACTGAACTCTCATTGTCCTTTTTGTTAGGAAATTCGTTAGCCAGTTATGGATGTCTCCCCTTATCCCGTACTGATTGAGTTTGTGCAGGAGTCTATCATGGGGAACAGTGTCGAATGCTTTAGAGAAATCCAGGATCGCTACGTCTACTTGGTGGCCCTTATCATAGGAATGTAACATGTCGTGTATGGTTATAGCGAGTTGGGTTTCGCATGAATATCCAGACCTGAATCGGTGATTCAAGGATCTTAATATCTTATTGCTCTCCAAATGCTTCATCATTTGTCGACATATAATATGCTCTAGTAGCTTGCAAGGTACTGATGTTAAGGAGACTGGTCTGTAGTTTTCAGCTGCATGTCTATCACCTTTTTTGTAGATACACGATATATTTGCGCTGAGCCAATCTTTTAGAAGTTTCCCAGTATCTAGAGAGTTTTGGTATATAATCGATAATAATGGTGCTATTTGGTCTGCACATTGTTTCAGGACTCTGTTTGGGATGTTATCGGGTCCGGCTGCTTTTGATGGATTGATGTTTTTCAGCAATTTTACCACGCCTTCTTCCCTGATGATGATTCTTTTTATTCCTGTTTTGAGGTTGATGTTTTTTGATCTTGTGTATTTGTGTCAACCCGAGGTACTCTTGTAAATTCTTAATTTTGTGTCTGTAACAATGTCTGAAAGATCAACCAGACTAAATTCTAAATCAGAATCTAAATCAGAATCGGGTCTTCAAAATAAGGAGACGGACAAATCCATAATGGATGAAATCAAACGTCTGAAATCCTATATCATTACGAAAAAAGATCTGGAAAAGGCTTTGGAAAAAATTGTGAAAAACGTTGTTACTCAAATTTTAGATGATAAAATGAAGGATTTTAATGAAACCCTAAAATAAAATACAGAGAGCTTGAAGAAAGTACTTGAAGAACAAAGCCAGACAATAGATAAATTGAAAGAAAAGGTGAAAGACCTCGAGGCAGATTTGAACGACACAAGACAACTCGCTCGGGAAAAACGGTTACTCAAATTTTATGAAGGATTTTAATGAAACCCTAAAATAAAGTACAGAGAGCTTGAAGAAAGTACTTGAACAAAGCCAGACAATAGATAAATTGAAAGAAAAGGTGAAAGACCTCGAGGCAGATTTG